AGCAGCTGCCTGATGAACTTGTGAAAAAATCCTGAATATAAGTCATAATGCATATAAGTCACCAACATTAAAGTTTGCGTTAAGCACCACCCTAGTGCTGTTAGATGAAAGTTTTACAAAATGAATCATAAAAAGTCAATATGATGCATGGAAAAAAATTAATACTAAACTGTCATTTTTTTTGTATTTATGTTACTTCGTTCACTGACGTTCAATTACCCTCGTTTTAAATGTAAACTAATTTGTTGTTTACCATATGCTTACGTGATACAAAAATATTTTATGAGCTTTCACAACGTTAATGGTATACTCCTCAACACGCTTCCATTTGTTGTACTGTTCGCTTCTGAATTGTTCTCTTGGTAATCAAACAATAATGTTAAAGCCATATCCTCCGTTCCTCTCTTGGTATTGACCTTCCTCGCTATACAATAAATAGTAATTCAAAGTAAATCATAACAAAATAAATTTATCGAAAAACGTTATTAACCTTCGCAATACAGATGTTGTAACTTTTTCAACGCAACGTAACTGATACTGATACTGTTACTCTAAAATACGTACTGACATACGGTTTTTAGTTTCTTGTTTATCAATGTTATTTTCCAAATTCTTTTAATCTTGACAATCTTGACATTATTTGTGAAAACCCGGTCCGTTTTATGTTAATATATATGAAAAACTGTCATTGCTTCATATTGCATTGCTTATAGGTATTGTTATTAAAATTAACAAACAACCATATTTTTAGAAATTTATTTATGAAAATAAAAAACCTGAATACTTTTACGCAAAATAGCAGTTGGAGACATCCTGACCTCCCGTGATTTATTTACATGGCTTGTAATATCATCATTTATTACCACGACATTACAATATCTCGTCTACCGTGACAAATTAACACACGGGGATGGCTGTATTCCGGCATTTCAACTCGTGATCCATGAAATATTAACAATTGCATCGGTACACCGAAACAGCGAAATTTATTTATTCTCATTCAATAGTAATCCGTGTAAATATAAAATAAACGCAATGATACCCAGATGTCCCGAAATAAAATTATCGCGTTTGGACCGAAATAGCACAAAAACCGCGAATATCCGACGAAAAGCTCCGTACGCGTGGGAAAAACCGCGGGTGCATCCGTGAAGTAAGGAAAAAAAGGAGAGAGTGAATAAATGACCTCTTGAACTCCTAGACCGAGGTAGGGATAAAGTCTTTCTACGCACATTTCGCCGAAACGACAGCGATTGTCCCCGAAAGAGGAGGGGGGGGGAAGAAGAGAGCGAATTAGATGCGGAAAGTATCCGAAGCGTGAATCACCGGGGAATTATGGGAGGGAGCCGTACCAGTGGCGCGATGCCAGTACATGGAAGAGCCACTCGGATCCAAGAGAGACTACGTCGGCGAGCTATCGATTTCCCCTGCCATCCAAGGGCGGTTTTTCAAAATCTCCCACCACCACCAACAGGATCGTTTTCTCCTTTTTGATTTAGGTAACACTTGAGCTACGGAGCTTACGTGCACCTGCTGCGCTTTGAGTTACGGCTTTCGCATGTGTGTGTGTGTGTATGAATACTCGATTCGTATAATGATTCTGGCCCGCGGCGCAGTTCGAAGAGCGGGGCTGAGGTATTGTTCGCTAATTGCCTATCGGCAGGATTACTAATCATTTTTTGCCAGTTTTAAGAGGGAACTCGATTTTCTCGATTACTGTTTTTTTTTTTTTTTTTAATCAGTCGATTATCAGTACGATGGAAGCATAGTCGAAAAGTTGGTTCATGCACCAACTTTGGCACTTGAAGTATATTAAAACTAAAGTGGTGGAAGTGCATTAGGTGTGACCAAAAAATTGGTGATATCTGAGTTTGTGCGTAGAAAAGTATGAAACAATTAACGATTTTGAAGTAGCGATTTACGTGTAACGAGTGCATAAAATACGATAATCTGTCCGCACAAGTTGAGTACACGATTATTATGATGTATGTGTTAAAATAAAAAATTGGTTTATGTATTGAATACATCGGGTCAATTAACGTTGTTTGAATAGTTAAAGTCTAAGCTTCTCATGAAATTTATAATTATGTACGAAAATACACGTACACACGAATATTTACAGAGCAATCGACTTTTTACTTATTCATCAGACGTATTTATCGGTCGTGTACTTCACGAATGCAAAATAATAGCTCACAAAAGTAAAGAGGGGGGTTTATAGTGGTGCAAAGCAACACTGAAATCAGCAATGAAATGAAATGCAAGCAGCATTGAAATCAACACATGAATCCAGGAGCAGCTACATAAACACTTGGCACCCCAAACTGAAATCCTTGTATACAATGAAAAAAAATTTAAGCTGTATGTCCTTAAAATCTCTTTTACTAATACACTTGTTTTATCAAAGGATATTTTGTTTCCGCATAGTTTTATTAAAAAAATCTTTTTTTATCTTTTCCATTAAAATTGTAGTCTTTTTTATTCCAATGAGTACAATGCATTGTAAGTATGTTAATACATGCATATTCTATTTTTACACAGTTATTCAATGAGAGGTTATATTTTACAGTTATTACGGTTTCAAAACATAAAATAACATAAAAACATAAAAAAAATTATTGCCTTCTGTCTACTACAAAATTTTTTTTCTAATGTCATGTGCTCCAAGAAAAAAAATCTGAACACAGATCCCCGTGGTGGTGACGTAGTTTTTCCACGATTTGTATGTTAAAATTGTATCTGTACATACGACATGCATCCCTCATATTATAAGACATTGCGAGTAAAATAAGCCCGATCGCAAAGAAAAAGTTTTATTACAAAAATAGGAACTAAAAAGGGGTAATTTTTTGTAGATTTGCTCATATACTTATGACCATTAGTACAATATGTACAAGATATTTTTACTTATGCCTCATACCAGTGTTTCATCATGTAATTTGTACAAGTAATTAATTCGATTATTCAATGTGCTTGACGTAATACTATTATTACAGTAACCTCTTATCAATTTGACAACAACAACACCTGTGGGGTTTGGAAACTCTTATCTCAGGAAACGTTTATTCACCAGAGGCTCTAAAAATATTAATTTTAAAACTGATAAACTCGCTAATTACAGCAGAAAGTATCAACACGTGGTATATACATCGGTAATCAACATGACGTAACAGTTGGAATGCCTTGTAATACGAGTATGTTCTCGTGACGCTGATATAAAAATTTTCCGTTACTGCTTACTATCACGTCTTCCGATACTAAGATTGATGGTACCCTTCATTTATTTTATCGTTTCTCTATGCGATACTTTCGTTCTTGCATACACAATTTACAATCACACTTGTTGACTAATAGTATCGAATTATAAACCACATTTTTTGCTCACTTACTTAAATATTTACTATTTTGTATTAAAAAATTTTAATATCCAAAGCTTTTAGTTGCAATCTCACACAAAAAAACTAGCTACTGCGTACTTGGACGTAGCATTTTTCGAGTGCCAAATTTAACAAAAGAGGATTTTAGTTTTGGAGTGTACAACAAGTGGAATGTTGTATATAGAAAAACCATTTTTATTCTCAAAACAGCAGATATCTTGTTATGTCATATTATATAGTATGTACTTTCCAATTTAAAAAGCGTGTTTGTAATCCCGATAAAATTGAACGTATAAGAATTTCTCAAGAAATGGTGTATATTATCAAGTGATGTATTCAATGAGCTGTTATTAGTGCTCGCGAGGAGAGGATTGAATACGAATCGCCAGACTGTTTCGCAAACACGCATGACAAAAATAAAAGATGTTATGGAATCGAAAATCGCAAACAATAAATATGATTTCATTAGGGGAAATAAATCGTAATGGAAAAAGATAAATCTGTCAGGATGCAAAAATAAATCAACAATTATTTACTTTATCTTCGAGATTAAACGGCTCACTTGGTGATGTGACAAGATTCGCGCATGATCAATGTTGCAAAGACTTGATGAATCACGCATTATTTGGGTGCACGCGTGAGCTGAAATAATTAGCTTACCGCTAATCCCACTACTTCCATCTCTTATCTTTGTACGTGTATCCTTGTCATATTTTTATCCAAAAATTATATAAAAGTTAATTCTGATTGGCAAAGTTGGTGATTCGGCTGTACAATTGCAAAAAGAAAGCAAGATATGCAAAATTTCACAGTCACGATACTTGCCATTTTGGCTTTGGCTTACTTTGCGTCGGCCCACGAGGATGACGGTAAGAAATTCACCTAATACGTACAATAATTACATGATATCGTAGATGATTCCAAAACTTTTACCAACGGATCATTTTTATCGTTAATGCCTTTTTTCATAAAAAATGTCCAGTTTTTAAAATATGATAGTTGTGAAAATAAATAACACTTTTCTGTATAAAACTAAATTGTTCACATCCCTATGGTGGTGTCCGAGTGCTTGATGACTCAGATTTTTGTTGCTTTGCATTGATTATCATGACAGTGCACTATAATAATCTGCTATGAATTTGTTTTTTCGTTATATATTACCTGTGCATCTTTTTATCTGCAAAAGTAAAAATTGAGGTTAATTATTATAAGACCGAAACTTAACCATAATTAATGTGTACATTGTATTACATATTCTACTAGTAGTGAAAACTTTGTTGGCGTCTATAAATTAAATAAAATAATTCAATTGATCAATCTCAAATAGCAAAATTGTGTGAAGTATGGTTTTATGTTCTTATGATTAATGAAAACATTTAAAAAATGAAAATTTGTTTGCTTACAGATCATGAGCTACCCGTATACCGTTAGTATTTTTTAATCTGTAATATTTTCAGTACTTGACCTAATAATCCAAACAAACGAATCAAGAAAATAATTTTTTTTTTTAATAACGTTTTACGCAGGCAACTTCCAAAATGGCAAAGATCCATGTCCTGCTGAAAACTTTTACGACGGCTGCAACATTTGTCATTGCCCAAAGGGTTCCAAATTTGCTGTGTGTACCTTAAAAGCTTGTATTACCGAAAACAATGTCCTACGTAGTTTAGACGGTGAGTCGTTATTATTTTTTAACCCAACAAATTCAATTAATTTTATGAAAACTTCACGTTACATCTCAAAAATAATCCTATAAAATTATCATATAATATTTTGAGTTTTTAAATTAACATAAAATAAAATTCAATTGTATCTATTTTACACAATTATTCGTCAATTCGTGCTTGACTTATTTACAAGGTTTATAAAATTATTGACATGATATTTGGGTTCGCCTCTCTGTCAGAATGTCAAAGAAATTGCAAGAGATTTTTGGTTCATTTACGATGACTTAGGCACGAAAAATAACTTTTACTTGTGAAATATGAAATAATCAGTGCACTTTCCTCTATTCATACAATAATGAATGGTACAGTTTTTTAGATAAACCCTTTTATCAATTGTCCTACTCATATAATCATTTTTTAATAATTTTTCAGAACCTGATGTCCCACAAGTCTGTAAGTACCTCCCGGTTAACTATTCATTTCTAAAAGTGATTTTAAGTATCTGTACCATTATCTTTTTTTTTTTAGACAACTATGAAATAGGAGATAAGTGTCCAGCAAAAATCTTCAAAAATGATTGTAAAATATGCCACTGCGACGATACTGGGTTTGGAGCTTCTTGCACTAGGAATGGGTGTTACGAAAATAATGAAATCTAATGTTTTGTTTTGTTATTAAATAAAGTTTGATATTTAATTTCTTAATACATTATTTATTTTTATTCGCATGAGCCCGATTCCGTAGAAAGTGATACTTCTAACACAACTTTTAAAAATACTGTTTATTGAAGTGTTTTTTTTTGTTATACCTAGTTGAATTAAAAAAGATACCATCTCTTCGGATAAAAAATATTAAACAACTTTAATTAATTATTCCATATCCTAACAATGAACTTTATCACTTTTTTTTTTGTACGAATTAAAAATACAATTTATGTCTTCTTTGTATCGAAAAGAATCAGCTGTGTTTACCTAAAAAAACATGCGCATTATTGATACTTATTTTTCAGTATAATTAAACTGATAATGATTTTTGTACAAAAATTCCGCAAATTAATGTATTGTTGAATTTTCAAGATATTAAACTTTTTTTTTATTTCAACGTATCCGCCATTCAATTTTTTTTTTTTTTTTTTTTTTTAAATAAAGCGTTGTGCTCAAAAATCCTATGAGTATCTTTTATTTATAGAATATCGTAATTTAATTTACCAACTAAAGTAAAAAGTAAAATTCCAAGGATCGTTATCATCACGTTTGCCATTTTGGATTCTCAAACTTTGACGTAAGCCAATCATAGTAAGCTCTGAATACATTTTCAACAAAGGTCTTTTTTTAATGCATCTTTTCTTCGTTAGTTTCATAAAAATTTTACATGTTAGATGGTAAACAGTTACGTGAACTTGAAAGTCCCAAAAAATAGTAAAAATGTACTACTCAACTATAATGTATGTTAATATGGCAGGGAATCAAATAACTTATGTCTCATTCTGTATATAGACACTGTTTTGTGTGCTGTGCTTACCCTGTTCTAGTACAGGCGAAATCGTTACAACGTAAATAGTATTCATTGAGAAACGAGCTGTGCGAGCCTTAGCAGCACTACTAGTTAAGAAAAATCGATGATGTGTCAGAAGTGATTTATCATCCTGATAACATATAACAAGTGCAAAGATGAAATTTGTTACGATGGATCCTTGCAGTTGAAAAATTACATGTTGAGTTAAAAGTAGTGACTTATTTTTGCACCTTTTTTTGTAAAAACAGTAGATATTTTTTAATGATAGGAAGGAGAAATTTGTAGTTGCGTGTAATGACGTCTAAAGCCGAAAATTGATTTTCCGCTTTTATGGAAAACAAAATATTACAGATCGTCATACAGCAACGTTTAAATGCATTATTTAATTTATGTATATAATATCTGAGATCACAAAAATTCACCCGCTATCCATATGCATAAAGAGTCTTATGAGAGCCTCACACTTTCCCCTCACCCTCGTGCAAAACCACTAAACCTCCTTAACTGGAAAAAGGGAATCTCGAAAGTCATTGACACGTTATATTTTTTATTAAAACTTATTATGTGATCTGCATGCTTAGACGTAAGACTTGAGGATTATTTGATTATCAACATCATCAAATGACTTATCTCGATTACCGCGAGCTATCAACTAGAAAATGATGGCATCAATATAATACGGCTCGTTCAACAAGTAGAACGTATAAACGTGCGATCAGCCGAAATGGTATCCATTGGGGTGCCACCAGTGATAAATAAAAATAAACCGATTGTGAAATCTTCCATAGCTCCTGACAAATGAAACATCAGCCCACACCATTAACTGTGACCCCTTTACCCCCCCCCCCTTCATACCCTGTAAGGTAACACGAAAAAACTTTTGCACTTGATCGTTAATTACATTGCAAGTCCCAGCTCCCCACCCTAAGAACTTTCTGTTTTTCGAGCTCTCGACACTCTCCCCCCTTCCCCCTCCATGAACTCGTTGAGCATAAACTCGGGAATTCTATTTTCCCCACTAGTTGCCTCCAGCGAATCTTGCCTCCCTACTAACGTCTTCTTCCATTTTCCCATGAGCGAACGGGTGAAAAAAAGGGAGCGCGGTATGTACGCGTGGCAAAGGGTGGAGTTGGACGAGTAGAAAGTGGAAAACAATACTGGCAAAAAACACCAAAGCCTTCGGGTGTTCGGAGTGCTGAGTCACGAGGTGGGTATACGGATAGGAAAACGCGATTAAGAGACTGGGCAGGAATGGTGAGGTGAACGGGATACGTAGCTTCTTCTTTTTTGTTGCCATAGGGGGAGAAACTTCTGCATTTTGGAATGGCTCAGGGGGGCGCTGATTTTGTTTTGTGACAGCTCTCGAGATCGAAATCTAATGATGCTTGTTGTAGCAATGAAAGTTTTCCACTGTATCGTATTATACGTGTTTGGTATTCAAAGACTTTGATCAAGATATTTTATTGACGATTTCAATTCTTACATTAAGTAAGCAATCCATACGTGTATTATATTACCCTAAAACGTTGTGTAAATGACGGGTCTAATATCCAAAAGTGGGTCATCCATATGTGTCCATTGTAGTTGTCATAGTGTTTCATGGTTAATCGAACTTACTTTGATCAGACACTTTACAAAAAAAAGATGACACTAGTCGCCAAGGTTTTGTGATACGTTTGAAAGAATAATTTCCAATAAGCAGCCAGTTATTGGTACAAATAGTACTTAAGAGCAGTTTTCACAACTCAACGTGGGATTTTTTCATACTCCCATGTTGAAAAGTCAAAGTTTAGACATACATTCTATAGAATCTTTTCAAATATCAACCAAACAAAAATGGTACCCCAACAACATACTTACATCGAAAATTTCGTTAAACTTGAACATGCAATATTACGTGTATATAAATTAATTGACAATGACGTCGCGTTATTATTAAATAACATTGAAAAATCTGATGTACCACACGATCTCGTAAATTCCCTTCTTCCTATCGTTTACATCCATAAATGTGTATAGCGGTAACCATTATACTACGAATATAAACATGCCTATACTTATAAGACTTTATTGTTGTTTTAATTCCACCAAATCAGTAACCCAACCACAAAGTACCCATTCAAACTTGTACTGTACAAGCCAATGCATCCAAGTCCCACCAATATCCATACAACTACCAGCCGGAAATTCGCGAACAATTAGATATTACGACACCATCCGCGATCGCCCGAGCCACAAGCTTCCCAAGCTTTCCGGTGCGGTTGGTCCTCGTGCAGCCGCAGCAGGGAAAATTAGCAAAGGCCCGCCGAGAGCGGCAAAGCTGCGGCCTTTGGTGTTTCTGGTGGGGAGTACAAGGATAGCCGGTGACTAACAAGCCGGAAGAGCCAAGGAACGCAAACTCCCCGTGTACGCGCGCACTTTGGCCGAGTTGCGTGGCGCCTCGAGCCGTTGGTTTCTTGGAAAGGGGCTCTTTGGACAAATAACAGGAAGGACGCGAGAGCCCAGGTGCGAGTGGACCTCTTTGGCCAACGCGTCGCCGTTGCTGTACTGTTGTTACGAAATACTTGCCATTCATTTGGCAACTCCCAATTTTACGTGGAATTGCATCGTTACGTTATATCATCAAGGCCAGTGTTATTGCGTTTCTAATTGAGAATTGTTGGGAATTTCGGGATGTTTTTGGAATACGTGGATATTGAAAGTTGTGGTTAAATTTGTGCGTTGAGAAACTGATCGAAAAAAATTACATGCTAAAAACTATGCATCCCAATTACCTACCGTTTGTTCGTCCAGAATATAAAAATACGTAATAGATCAATGATGTTTCCCTTCAAAGTCCCAAAGTTGTAGAGCTACTTGGAACCCATAGGCTAAGAATTAAGGATTCAATAAATACGTACTCTCATGAGAAACTTAAGAATATAGTTTCGTCCCAACTTTTTTCAATCCACTCGCAGTAACCAAATTTTGAAACGTCAGATGAAACTGTGCCTTTCTCGATGTTTTCATACGTGCAAGGCTCTATTTTGGCAATTACTGTTCTAATCAAAAATAAGCTTGACAAAGGTATATATCCCATATCACGAAGAAAATAAAAAACGTTGGTTCTAATAGGAATAATAGACGGTGTGTCAAAGCACTGCTCTCTAACTTAAAATTACTGGTAATATTGTGGAGATTGAAAAATTTCAACCAAAGTTCTCATATTTTTCCCACAAACCTCGGCCACTTTACACGCTGACACGTGGTTTGAGAAAACTCTACAACCTACGGCAGAAGCAAGCACCCTTGGCTATCACATCATCCCCCGACCCGACAAAGTTCAAAGACCAGCCCACGGAGAGTCTCGCGTATACGCTGGCGTACAAATAGAGTTCGACAAGTTCGACAATACCGGCTCATCAGGCCATTGTTGCAGCCTATAGAATTATCGGAGGGGAGGGGGTCACAATGAAGCCTTTGCACAAAACAGCCGACTCGCGCTACACAGCTCCCCTTCCGCGATCGCGATTCCGGGGAGGTGCAGTTTTCTCCTGTACCCCCCTGGCATTCACCGAACGATGTTTTGCGCTTGCTGAGCCCCTCCCCCTGACTTTGCTTTTCTCGTGGGGGTAAGAAAGAGGGGATGAGGTGTTGGAGCGCACAAAAGGGGTGTTTTGTCGGCGGATCAAGAGGTTTTCGAGGCGTTTTGTTTTTTCCTCTTTTTTTAAATTGGTTTTAGGAAATGCCTACTGTCTACCGTTGGACTTGCTTCTCCTGCTTGTCTCTACAGGGATGGTGCTTACTGTCCACTGTCTTTCAGTCGAACACTTATCGATTGATTAACTAAAGTGCATTTTATCAAGTATCGAAACATTTTCAGCAGTCTCGTCTTGAAATCTCGAAAAAGACAGCATTTGTAAGCTTTTCTTGGGAAACAAAAACAGTTGTCGTTCGCATTAACAATGGCATGTCAAATCATTATACCGGTAAATCGTTCCATCGCCAAATCGTTTTGTAGACATATATCGTTTTATCGGCATTCGTACCACCAGATTATCGTT